TTCCCATCTATTTTAGTTCATACTTTTACGTCGAACTCCCCACCATGTCATCCTTCACATCGACCTCAGTTCGTACGCGGGACCCACGGTCTTGAATGGGGTTACGTTTTCTTGGCTGATTTCTTCCGACAGTTTAGTCCACCCTACTAGTACTTGATCATTCACATTCACCGCAAGTAATTCCAATTCCCGACCGTACTTCCACCGAAGAGAAGGCTCGAAATTGTCATTGTCAGCGAGTGAAGAGGTCGCGTCCCAATTGAGAAGGTTAAAAAAAAAGTTGAAGGGAATTCCCTTGTTTGTCGAAGGCACCTCCAAACCAACTCCGCTGCATTCCTCTGCTTGCCCCTTCTTGTTGGTTTCATTGCAAAAATTGTGCTTGACGGTAGCAAACAACAGGCCCCTTTCCGTTTCGATCAAGAATGCTTGGCCTTCCGCGCGTGTATCTGAACCATCAACAAGCACCGTCAATTTGAGCGCCAGGCTGTGTTTGCGTACATAGTCCGCAACCTCTTCGAGACCCGTTTTGAGTTGTTCAAGGTTAGGGTGGTCAGTGAAAACACGATCGCGAGACGACATGGCCGCAATCTTGCGGCTATCGTCGACAATGCGTTCCGCCGATGAGCGTGACTTTGTCGGTGAATCGTCTGGCTTTCCTTCCGAGCGCTCGGTCGGGCTTCCACCAGAGTACTTTGGAGTGCATCGAGGAGGAGTGAATCCTCCATAGGATTCACGAGTGACAGTCGAAATAGCGCGAAAAGGTGTGTTGATCATCGTCGTTGGTGGTTTCGTTTTCTTATGCTTTCGGCTTGCTTGATTTGCATTGTAAGAACGCTTGGGGCGCCTTGCGAGTTGTGAGTGCTCGCCACAGCAAAACTCCAACAACAGACGAAGGGACAGCAATCGACTCTCATCGTCGAATCGTGGAAATCAGTCGTCAATTTTTTCACTTTGGTCCAGGGTTGGATAACCGATCGGTTTGAGTACCGGTACTGGTACCGGGTACCGGTACTGTACCGGTTATGGCGTAGTACCAGGTACCGGTACCACATTGTGCGTGGCCTTATGTGGTACGATAGTACCCGGTTACATACAGTAACCGATTGAGTCCCACACCAATCCGGGTGATCAAGTGCTGCAATGTGTCCTTGTTGTAGCTACTAGCTAGCTAGCTAGAACGGAAATAACCACCACCACTAGAGACTTCTTCATGACCCATTTACAAAAATATCCTGATCTACATTCTTCTTGATTTTGTTGTAAGGAAACTTCTTCCCATTGCTACCATGAACAAAAGCTTGCAATGCCTTCTGGTTAATAATTGCCCTTGTCTTGTCTTCTTATCTTATGAGGAAAAACAAACAAAATGTGCGCTTGGTTTCAAACAAATAGCACCATGTTATCACTCACATGGTGCGCTACGTATGCGTACACTCTTGGGTACTTGCGTCGGTAAGTACTAGCTAGTACTAGCTCCTAGAGTAGACGATTTTTAAGATCGAAAACTTGGCAGCTTCGCTGGGCTGAGCTGCTAATCTGCGATTACTGTGTTTTAAAAAGACACGTCGTAGCAGATCTCCTCTCTTCTTTGCATGTACCTCTTGCCCTTGAAAGTGTCTTCTTCAGTCCGTACAAGCAGTCGGAGATAGTGCTTGTTGTCGATTGTTGCTGCTGCTCGTGCTAATTGCATGGTTTCAGCGATTCGGGACTTGCTGGCGCGCATGACGCGCGGGTCAAACCTTAAGATAATGAGACGAACCACGTGTACCAGCAAGCACCAAGTACAGTAGACGTCCAACAGCAGTGCTTGCTTCACGTGTATAGACCATTAAGAATGACCACTCTAAGGTTTTGTATGGGAGAATTGATGAGAACCCTTGGATGGCAAAGCCAGCCATTGCCGGTTGATAGTTGCCCACACCAGCGATCCAAACGGTACCAACCTCCCTATACTCTATATCCCCCTTATCCTTAGCTCCACCTCTTGGAAAATCGTTGTTCGGACTGGTATGGTAGTAGGTACCTGTAGGTACGGTAGGATGGCAGCTCTTGACCAGCACATTCTATCTTCATATGCGTTTCTTGGCACGTACTCAGAGTACAATGTAATGATGGAGGCTGCCTCTAGTCTAGCTAGCTACTACTATTACTTAATACTGTAGCTAGCTAGGGAGGTGTTGCTATTCATGAATGACAGGGACAGCCCTTGTCTTGCCAATCAAATTATTATTGACATGTGTATGTTGTGCTTAGACTACTGCGGTATCATATCATTGGTACTTACTCCATGGATGTCCATATCATAGCATCTCGTGGGCAAACCATTATAATTTTCTTGAGACTGTGCAGATAGATAGATAGATAGATAGATAGATAGATAGATAGATACGGTAGATAGATTGGCACAAGCAGCAAGAACATCCCAAAGACGAAGGTTGTGCGGTGCCTTTGGTTGCACCATTCAAGGACAAGGTTGGCTTGTCGGAAGGAAATATTCGCACAAGCACACCTCCGTCCCTTCAGAAAAAGTTTGCGCCATTTTCCAACCCAAGCACCAGTAAACGGTCCCTAGCCCTGCAGGTGGGAAAACCTTTAAATAATATAAACCACCCCTCCTCCGGCAGTTTTCCAGCAGTTTAGAAATTCTGATTCCACTTCCCAGCATTCCGTGAACTTGACACCACCAAATCCGTTCCGGGAACATCCAAAAATCCAGATCTTTGCCGCCCGCATAGCCTACCACCTCCGTGTGCCATGCATGCTTCGCACCAATCCTGAAGTCAAACCTCCACTCAAAAGCTCATTATTTCCAAGCCCGAGACCACCGAATGACCACAACCGCCCACACCCAACACCATGTCGCCTAACAGGCTACTAGCATTGACCAATGTCGACTACTACGGTTCGTCTTCCAAATCTAACCAAGCGAAACACAATAGTACCGCCACCTTAATCCAACCATACCTTGACTCCCTCCAGGACAAGCTAGAGCTACCTCGAATCCAATACACCAACCTAGAAGAAACCGGAGGCTCCTTTTCTACCGACGACGATCTCGTAACCAAGTGGTGGTTCGCCTTCTGGAACGGTCAACCAACTTTCTGGTTCAGCCTCAAGAAAACCACAGGAGAAGACTACGCACTGGGAATGCTGGAACGTTACATGCCCGCAATCAAGAACCAGCTGGCGAAGAAACTCATCCTGTCCCGATATAATAAAGTCATCGAAGAAACTTACACATCGGCCTTTAACGAAATGAAAACGATGATCAAAGACCACAAGAAAGCATCTCCCATTCCCCCGAAGAACAAAGTCTACACCACCGCCGACATCACCTTTATCCTTCAACGCTGTTTGTGGTTCAACCTAGAAAAATACATCGACTTCTATGTTTTCCAGACAGCAACCCTCAGGCTTTGCAGTAGAGCAACCGAAACATCTCGCATGACCGTACAAAGCCTCTCAACCAGAGAGCTCTGTGAAGGATCCACCAACAACATTCTCCAATGCTACCTCGTTCGAGACAAAATGGGAGTTGACAACAACCACCCCTTGATTCCAAACAAACACGAAGTCTTTGGTGATCTTGTTGTCGCCATTGGCCTATCCCTGTTCATCCGTGGAGACAATGTCCTCATGCCATCCATCGCCACCCTATCCGGAGAGTCTGTTGTCTCAGCCCACTACAAGACAATGCTCAACACCCTCTGGAAGAGATACCCTCCTGCAGAGAAGAACTCTGTCAGAAAAGGCACATCTCACTTCGGCAAGCATACAGCCCAGTTCCTCCTTGACGGAAACAAACTCCACATTGCAGCTCAACTGTTCGGCGGATGGAACATCGGAAAAGGAACCGCCCGCGCCTCGTACTTCTCGAACCCCTTTCCCTACCTTCTCGACGGAGCGAAAAGCCTAGCAGGCTGGTCGAAGACCGGAGGCGATGACTACCAACGCGTCACCATTCCATCCTACGACACCATCTCAAAAGACCTTGGTGATAAGATCTGTTCAGTCTTCTTTGGACACATCTCCGAAGACTTACTCAACATCCAAATGAAGCAGATGATTCTCGTGTGTCTCCTATCCAAATGGGATCAACTCCTAGATCAGATCCGCGCAGAACCCAATGGAATATTTGAAGACCCCAGCAATCACATTCTCATCACAACCCTCACGCTTCGACTTAAACGAGACGGCATTGAACTATCCCAATTCAACAATTTCAAGTCAACTTGCCAAGAATTATTCGACGAAACCAACAACATTTCCACAGTTCCAGTCCCAATCACACCACAACCTCCTACAACTCCCACGACAATCGTAACTCCAACCGTGACTTCCAAACCAACCATAGAGTACTCCCAGTCCCTGTTCCAGTCCCAGATGAACATCCAGCCACTCAAATCACTCCTCGACCTGGTCACAAGGAACACCGACCCCACCATCATCTTCATCAATTTTTTCGCTTGCAACTTCATAGAATCTTACAAGAGCACACCCAGGGTTGACAACAAATGCCGCTGCAAGTACAGTACCGGAAGATCAAAGCTGCCATCAGGGTCATGGTTCGATTCTCTGACAATTACCCTGGTACGAAGACCCCAACACTAGCAGATGCCGAAGCTGTAATACACCGCATCAAAAGCGCGCTATTAACTGAGACAAACGTAAAAACTCAAAGCAAACAACCATTCAATGTTACAACACCGGTTCACCTCACCACCATCCGCAACAATGAAAAGCTCCTCACCGATAAGACAAAACCCTGGTACCGTCCCCTACCAAGTGACACACCCCACTCCTTTATCGCCCATGTCTACCCACCAGCACCCAACAAAAAAAATAATTATTAGCCATTTTAATATTTTTTTAATATTTAACCGGACGCGTCACTGTTAAAGTGTCAGAATTGCGAGTTATTTAGACACTCCACCATTTCTGCCAAACCCCCAATTGTATCTAACAACCAACTACACCGATACAACTCATAATATATTGAAATGACCTACAACATCCCTAACAATAAATTTGTGTTTACACTCCATAATTGGACTCCAGCTGACTGGGAGCACCTGAAACGCTTCTCAAAAGAGAATGAACACGTGGCCTATCTCAAAGTAGCCCAAGAAACCGGTAGCGAAGGAGAATCTCCTCATTTGCAAGGCTGTGTTTACTTCAACTCCCGCACCTTTAAGAAGCAGCGTCCATCGGCTATTTCCAAACTCCTCATGGGACCCAACAAGAACGTCTGCCTTCCCGACCCCAAGAATCCAGGCATGTATCTCAAACACCACTACCATGTAGACGGAATGAGAGGCACCCTTCAAGAAGCTGCCGACTACTGCGGTGCCATGTTCAAGGAACAAGGATGTAAGATCCACGAACAAGGCAAGATCCCAACCACCCAACAAGGTCGACGTACTGATCATGAAGAAGCCCAAGAAAAGATAATCGAAGCAGCCAAAGCCGGCACGGCATTTGATGATGTCAAGCTTATGCTCCCCCGGTTCGCCGACCAATCCCTCGAATGGATGCGCAATCTGTATCTCCAACACAGACCTCAACTTGAAAACTTCTTTGATCACAACCCTCTATACAAATGGCAGAAGGACCTAGCAACCTATTTAAACAGCAAGAAACCTGACCCTCGTAAAATCCTGTTCGTGGTGGACATTGAAGGCAACCTAGGGAAGACCAAATTTGCTCTCAATGCACAACATCTCATCCCAGACAAGGATGTATTTCATTGCACCCCCAAAGACGGCAAATCTCTCTCATCTTTGGTTCCTGACGATGGCACAGACATCTTCCTCATCGATTCTCCACGGAAAGTACAGTACGATTTACCTTATGATTTCATAGAGGAAGTGAAGAATGGATTTGTCACCAACACCAAATACCAATGCTGTAAGAAAGAATTCAAAGTTCCTCATGTAGTTGTGTTCATGAACAGCCATCCCCAGTTCGGGAAGTGTATTCTTTCGAAAGATCGTTACGTCATTATCGAGCCATCCCTAACACCCGAGGAACGATTGAAACTAGAGCAACAGGAGGAGGAAGAACAGGACCCATACATTCAGCAGTTCATGGAACGCACTATTGCCTGGCAAGAAGAAAGAGAAGTCCACAATGAAGAAAGGCAGGAGGAACGCGCTGCTAAGCGAGCCCGTACTGCTCAATAATCAACTATGTGCTAGTCTAAACCTTTCCCAACTTCATATACAAAAATCTTGTAGCACACTTGCCCGTTTGATTTTGTATCCCAAGTAGCACACTTGCCCGTTTGATTTTGTATCCCAAGTCACCCCGCCCATACTTTCCCCAACTTCGTATACAAGATACAAAACTTTAAGGTTAAGGCTCAAGCGTATATGGGTATGCCAACGAAGTGGTAGGATAATTTCCCGACTTAGGAGGCATACCCATATACGCCTCTCGCCTTACAACCTCTTCCCCCCTTGCCAGGAGAGGGAATGAAGCGTCACCCCACCGGATGGCGAGTGATAAGGGTACCTACGTTGGCCTTACCACTCGTTAGCGCAATGAACCTTGTAAGGCAATCCCAACCCGGCATTAGCCCCCTTCCTTTTTTCTGCGAGAGGCGCCATTTTACAACCTCTCCCCAGCCCAGCGGCGATTGAGCTCCTCCAACCTGGCATTAGCCCCAGCCCCCTTACCAACCTGGCATTAGCCCCAGCCCCCTTACCAACCTGGCATTAGCCCCAGCCCCCTTACCAACCTGGCATTAGCCCCAGCCTTTACCAGACACGGCATTAGCCCAGCCTTTACCAGACACGGCATTAGCCCTAACCCCTTTACCAGACACGGCATTAGCCCTAACCCCTTTACCAGACACGGCATTAGCCCCAGCCTTTACCAGACACGGCATTAGCCCTAGCCTCAGCCGTAGTAGCATAACCCCCTTGTAGCGTAGCCCTAGCCTTAGCATAGTAGCTATTGTAGCGTAAGTGCCCTAGCCTTAGCCATAGTACCATTGTAGCGTAGCCCTAGCCTTAGCCATAGTAGCTATTGTAGCGTAGCCCTAGCCTTAGCCATAACCCCCTTGTAGCGTGCCCTAGCCTTAGTCATAGTAGCTATTGTAGCGTACGTAGCCCTAGCCTTAGCCATAGTAGCTATTGTAGCGTACGTAGCCCTAGCCTCAGCCGTAGTAGCATAACCCCCTTGTAGCGTAGCCCTAGCCTTAGCCATAGTAGCTATTGTAGCTCCTGTATAGCTTAGCCCTAGCCTTAGCCATAGTAGCTATTGTAGCGTAATGTTGCCCTAGCCTTAGCCATAGTAGCTATTGTAGCGTAGCCCTAGCCTTAGCCATAGTAGCTATTGTAGCGTAGCGTAGCCCTAGCCTTAGCCATAGTAGCTATTGTAGCGTAGCGTAGCCCTAACCTTAGCCATAGTAGCTATTGTAGCGTAGCCCTAGCCCTAGCCGTAGTAGCATTACCAATTAATTTCCGAAAACCTAGAGACCTCCAAAGGACGCTCCTCATAAAAAACTAACCCAACTTGGAAACACCCCTCAAGAATAAACTGAAGATCCGACAATGGCCAACACCCCCTTTGACCTCATCAACACCACCGGTGAAGCCTGCATCATTTGCGCAACAAAGTTCCGCAATGGCGACAAGGTCGTCCTCTTTGACTGCGGCCACTTCATGTGCAACGATTGCCATGAAAACCTCATTGCTGTACGCGCCACCTACGAAGACGACTACCTAGGAGAAGAAGACGACGATGGCCGTATCGGAAACGGGTGCCCCGTCTGTCGCTCGGATGATGAAGTAGCTCAAATCTATCAAGCCGTGGTGTACCACCGTGGAACCCAAGACGACCCTGTGGTCGTCGACGAGGATTAAAAACAACCCTAAACCTAATGACAAATTAAATCCCGACTTACGCACCTCTATTGCGAGCAAGCCCACCGCCGATCTGGCAGCAGGCCCGCGCGTGACCAACAACACCAGTTACCAGTTACTAGATTCCGCCGAACACCGACCCCTAGTCAAGTAAAAAAAAACGATTTAAATCCCATTTATTTTCTTTCTTTTTTTAACCCCAACCCTAGTCACCTCGGACCCATGGCCCCCTCTTCTCTTTCAGTATAGTAACAGCTAACATGGGCCAAACTTTAATTAAAGATTCCCCTTTTATCTCTTTCTAGTCCCGGTGTACTCGCTCACCGCAACCCAGCAAGTAAGTGGTAACAGGTAACAAATTCACTGATAGAACCACCACCCTCTGCCATATCCCCCATTATTTCCAACCTCGAGACCACCGAAGGACTCCCAACCCCAACAACCACCGCCGACCATGGCCCTAGAAGTACCCCTCGACACCAACCTAGGCCACGGATTGTTCATCCTCCACAACCCTGAAGCCGATGACATCAAGACAATGAGATCCATCCTGATGAAACCCGCCGTCTTCGGAGCAGTCTATGTAAGTGAACCAAAGAAAATCAAAGGTTACTTCTTACTCGCCGTCGATCCCAATAGCGACGAAGCCATTGAGCACTACAACGACCTAGCAGAGCATTGCGACGTCGAAACCCTAACAGTAGGAACAGCCCTTGACATCCTCTACAGCAAAAGACGCAAACTACTCAAGAACAGCACCAAAACGATGTACCGCGAATTACGAGCCCTGGCCATCAAGACATTAGACTGGCAGCTATAACCATCTTAGCCCTTTACCCTTAACCCTTTAGCCCTGTAGCATAGCCTTAGCCGTAGTAGCATAACCCTCCCATGTATCCTTTCGTGTCACGACTAATCGTCACCGGTAAGCACTTCCGGTCTTGGCGTCGCAAAGTAGTCTTACCAGGTAGTGTCACCGGTAAGCACATATCCAACCAATCAGAAACCACACCGCTAGAGAGTCGTGCAATTTCACACGGAACACCAGAGACCAAACCCACCAGCTAATTTAATCCATGAAAAGTCGACCCAACTCTCTAAACCCGTTAATTAGGTTAACCCCAACCCCAACCCGTCGTAATCTAACCGCGCGCAACCTCGGTCGTCCTGTACACCCTTCTTTATAAGGAAAAGTGAGCGTCTTTTTATGTGTCCGAGACACGCACCTTCTTCAATTAATTCCTCAAGCATTCGGACTTCTTTGGGGTTTCGACCATTTCATTCTCTTCTTGTTGTCTGTTGTTGTCTGTCTTCTATTCGATCTCTGCCCACACTCCAGCTAGCTAGCTACAGTAGTGATAGTATAGAACGTGACGTGAAGTATCACTACAGTATATATACAGTATGCCCAGCCGCAAGGGCAAAGGACGTCAATCGTTGGGATTTGGAAGTAAATTGCAACGGGCGCAATTCCATCAGGATTGGCAGAGTCGATTGCAGGAAGATTACTATGCGCAACGGGCGCAGCGGCACAAGCAGACGACGCGGCAACGTGTGAAGGATGAAAAGAGTCATATTCAATTGTCAAGTAGTAGTGGTGAAGGAAGGAGACGAGCCTGTCAATCGTCACTATTGCGTCGCTTGATTGCGGAACGTCAATACTGGGATCGACTGGAAGATCGCAGTTGGATCTACTTGCATCATGGACAGCAACAGCAGCAGCGATTGGCCAGTACTAGTACTGGTAGTGCAGGTAGTACAAGTAGTACTACAAGTGGCAGCCAACGAAGGCTGAATGATCGACTGCAAGACCAGAGTCCGCCTGGATGGTTGATCTTTCACACGACGCAATCCGATGAAGCCGATCCATTTGCCCAAGAATTTCTTATTGGTACCTCATCTTCTGTTCCGTCACTGCAGTCGCTGGCATTGGCGCAATTGGCGCAATCGCTGCCCGACTATGTCCAAGAACTGGGCGTCCCTCAAATGACAGACTATTTGAGTATTCTCCCGGGACCAGCTCTTACGGTATTGTCTGTAACAGTCTCGCAACTGGGACTGTATACCAACCAGATTTGTCAAGTCATTGGACGACAATCCCAACTTACACGATTTTCATTGGTGGCGTGTCCCCAATGCGAAGAAACCGATCCGTCGTGGAAAGAATTACAACCCAATCAAGCCATTCAAGCATTGCTATTGCAGCCTGGCTCCAGTGATAACAATACTCCACTGGTACCAATACTGCAATCCCCTACAATGGTGCCCGAATCCTGGGAAGAATTGGACGACAGTGATGACGACCAAGACCAAGACCAAATTTATAGTAGTTCCATCCCACCACGTTCTTCCCCCATTTCCATCTTGCAGTCCCATCGTACTTCCACATCGAGACAACAACAACTGGAACGACTCGAATTGGCCAATCTACCACATTTGCAAGTACATGTCTTGCAACAATTACTCCAAGCTAATGCTTCTACATTGACGCATTTGGGATTGTGTGGATCGTTATCGAGTCAGACAGGACCCGATGTGTTGTGGCAATTGGCACAATTGGCTCCAAATTTGCGCGTATTGGATGTTTCCGGCAATGCCAGTTGGGTTACGGAACCTGTCGTGCGCAGTGTCTATGATTCCTATCGGGCTCTCTGGGAGAGTAGGGATACACTGCAACAACAATCACAGCAACAACAATTACTCATTATCAAGGCAACGGGATGTTTGTCGCGATCTGGTCAAATACTCATGGAAATGGAATTTGGAACACTGTTTTGACACAATCGACAAACAGATCGACTCGACTACACTCTTTTTCCAAACCAAAAAAGTAAACGTGACAATGGCAATAAATGACGACGACGTTCGTTTTGGCTTTCTCGACTCACTCGTTTCAAGGACAGTTAGTCTCGCCCTTGTTCCACCGTGACATCTATTTACCGTACGTATCTACCGTACAATAAAGGGCAGCAATCAAGAAACTTGTTTGGCGGCCGATTGCGCACATCCGTACCACGGTTCCAGTTTTTCTTGGCCCGCATTTATTTATTTGGTGCCGTTCCGTCTACATCATCCCTTCATTTGACTACGTTCTGCGTGGAAAACGCTAATTATTCTACCGTAGCTAGACTGTGCCATGCCTGCATGGCCGGAGCTGGCTGAGTTGGCCGCAACTATGGATTATTTTCTGAGAGGCAGTCACACCGCGGGAGGTGCAACCAGAGAGGTGGGGGTTGCTGCCACCTCTGAGGACTGTTTTAGATACGCACTGCTACCAGGTATAGCATACGATGTAGCTACTACTAGAGTGCCGTATCAAAGCTAAAGCCCAGGCCTCGAAAAGCTAAAACCGCAAACCACATGGGGTGACTTTCAAAAAAATATGATTGCCTTTTAGTCACTCTACAGGCTTTAATAAATAAAGACGTTCAGTTTGCCGAAAAACTTGACACCATCGCCAGCATCGCCAACACAAACCAACCCGAGAAAGAAGTTTCGCTGTGGTTGTGTTGTTGTTGTTGATGTTGATGGAGCTGGATGGTTCAATTGCTGTTTGATGTTGTAACATTGCAATGCCTTGACGTCAATAGAAGTAGCATACTGTGAAAAAGAAAGTACGAGAGTTAAAGCATACCGGTAGTACCATGGCGACCAACAAAAAGAAGAGGAAGACTATTAATAGCACTTCCAGCGAAACTCCCACTGCTTCGAATACTACTACTGCAACAGCAACAAGCAGAGACAACGTTAAGGACAAGCAGGAAGAAGCGTCAGTCACAGCTAGCAAGAGACGTCGTCTATTGCCAACGTCATCATCCCAGCAGCACAGTCAGGACAATGAGAATGACAATGACAATGACATTGACTGCAGTGAATTGCAAACGCAGCAGGAGCAGCCCGACAATGTCTTGAATTCTACTACTGGTAGTCAAGAAGAAGAGGAGGAAGAAGAAGAACCACCAAAATTGAAGTTTGCTCCAGGTCTGCCTACGTTACTGTTTGACCATCTTCAGAGCAGTACTGATTCTGTAGAATTGGTGGAACAAGCCATGGATCAATTGGCCAATTTGTTGGAAGATGCTTCCATCCAGCTGTTGACTCAATTGGTGGGGTTGGGAGGACCTGCATTGGTCATGTTGACCATGAGAAAATATGCTCAAAATCAATCTATTCAAATCAATGCCTGTTACATTTTGGCCATGATTATTCATCACCACAAACAACAGCAGCAACAACAACCACAAAACAACAACCCTACACAGTTGATCAATCTAGAGACTCTGATCTCTTCTATGCAACTCATGGGAGTCACGGACGTGGTTCTCCGTGCCATGAAGAAATTCCCCAATGCGCAGCAAGTGCAATTGTTTGGACTTTTGGTCTTGGGAAACATGTGCACCAACACTCCTACTACGACAACGACAACTACGAACAACCATGATGATCCAGAAACAGCATCACGCGGTCTGCGACTCTTGAATACTGAGCACGCAGGAGATGAAGATGACGATGTGCTCCATCGAGTGGTCTCGGCCATGGACACGTTTGCGGACTCGTCGGATGTGCAAGATTATGCCTGTTGGTTCCTCGTGCGGCTCCTAGACTCCTTACAACAACAACAACAACCACAAAAAAGACTAATCATGGAACCGGCATTGGCACGACGATTCAAGACACAAATCGTACGAGTCGTCGCCACTGCCGTACAAAACTTTCCCGACCATCCATCCATTTCCAAGGATGCCTCGACCATCATGACGGCTGTTTTAAAAAGCCACCATGACAACAACAGCCAAGGGACTAGTAATAAGAACCACAACCACAATGCCACGTTGTTGGGAGCAGAGAGAAGGAGTACCAGGAATTCCAAAGACAACCAAAAGCCATTGTTGCGGTAGCTAGGTGTTTGCTTATACCGCATGTTTACTTTGTAATAGTTGTTCAGTTAGTACCGTATTGTTGGCTCTTAGTCTTTGCAGTGAAATGGCGACTTTTTTGAGGTGGGTTTCAAGAGGCTGGCAAAGAAAGTCTGACAACCGAAAAAGCTGCCACATGTCAAAAGCCGGTATTTTTGGCAGTTTGTGATGATGACCTCGTTCACCCTCCAATCAAACAAGCAAACTGCCATGGGAACCTTCCAAATCACTACTACAACAGCAAAGCAGCCAACCCAGCCACACGACGATCAATGTCAGTCAGTCAGCTAACAGTGGACTAGTCTACGTACCACTGGTATCCGTAGTCTTCGATGCTGGCGAAGCACCTTGCATTTACACGGCACTACCGAAACCGCGACGTCCATGCTTTGCTTCGAACTCCGCAGTGGACAGTGCAGTCACTTGTTGCTTTCGTGGTTCCGTAGTATGACAGATGATGGATCCTTGCTACCTGGTAGCTAGCTTGGACGGAACTCTTCGCAGCATTGGTATCGCATTTTTAAAATATTACAACACGTCATGCATGGACCGGTCGGCCTTCTACAAAATTCCAATTGCTGTGACCATCGTAGCCAGTCCTTCCTTGGTACGAGCAGGCTTGACGTTTGACGATGTGAGGCCGCAGAACAGCTCAAAATCCGGCGTTACTCTGACAGCTCTCTGACGTGGTCTGGCATCTTTCTAGTTCAAGACAAAGTAAGTTGTCCAAAACAACCCATTTTAACATTCTTTTGGCGTGACCACTGTTTTCTTCTAAAGGATATCGTACGGTATGCGAGCCCAATCAATTACCAGGTAAGCTGCTCAGAAATGACATTGAAGATTGTGCCAGCTGGACTGAGTTCCCAAAGAACATTCTTTTGAGTTACGATTGGTACAACCTTATCTTTTTGCTTGGTCACATTCCGATTCGTACTAATGTGATGGGCTGAGTTGTCCAATGAAGAAACACCGGCCACGGAGTTCCGCAGAAGTGACATTGAAGATTGGGTTTGAGACTGGAGTCGAGTCGAGTCACTCGACTCGGGTTTCAGGGGAATTACTACTAGGGTGAATGGTCAAGTACTGGAGTAGATAAGACATTGGCTCATACCGGTAGTTAGTCTATTGGTAAGCTAAAGGCCAGTGTTGGCTACTAGTCTGTTGGTGCTATATTGGTGTTACTGCCTCTCCCATCACTGCTGTTGCATTGCCTTCCCCATCACGCTCCAGCTGCCATCACCCCATCACCTCAACACCTACAAAACACAAACAGACTGATTAGGGGTTATCGGTTTGGGATAGCGGCACGGTGGATAGTCGTACTCAGAGTAGCCTTAAAATAGAATTCTATTAAGTCCCATTATGCTATCATACCGGTATGACCTTGCGCTGTCGCCCTACTGGTACCTGCATCCCTCATTCCACCAGCTCAAAAAAAAAGCTTGGTGCAAAGCAACGGACAACAAAGACCGGGACGTACGTCATTCAGCAGAAATAGTACATGTACCTTGGCACTTACGGTACCATTGGACAAAAGGGATGGCGGCCCTATGAGAGACAAGTAAGCAACAAGGTCTTTGGCTTTGCCTGCCTTTGACGCATACCACGTTGCAAACACTGGGACAAAATGATGGTGAAGTCTGTACAGTACAGTACCCAGTATTCAGTGCAAAAAAGGGTCTTGCTTCGCCCAACAGAAATGTCCAGCTACGGAAGTCTCTAATCATGTCTTATCAACTCGTCTCTTTAACACACGATTCTTATTAATAGCACGATTCGATTCGATTCTGATTCAGGGGAAGAGCGACTATTAATCGGTATTCTTCTATTTTTAAAAAAAATTTAAAATACTGAGTACTCTCTTTTCAATAGACATTGATGATAGCGGTACACTCCAAACTCACATATAAGAAATCTCTAAATTCAGTGCAGCCCTGGGCCTTTCTTACCAAGCAGCACCACTTTGGCCCCTCAGATTGTTTCTAACAAAACAAGCCAATTTCAGCATAGAAAACTTTCTTGCTATGCTTCTACATCAAGCAGGGTGGTACTTGAATACACCCAGTGCACCTGGCCCTTTTCGTCCAACTTGCTCAGGACTTGTAAATTGGGTTGGATCAAATAGAGATGGAGATCACTGTCTCTGCCGTGAGGCAGAAATTTTGCTGATTTAGGCCCAAGCTTGAAGCATTTTCATGGTGTCAGACTAGTGGTATTTCTTATGCTTTGAGGTCTCAATACTGGGAAGCTTTCTTACAAGTCAGTGATATTTCAGTATCAAGAATTTCTTAACATTTTCTAAAATCTCAGGGCTCGCTTTCTTGCAGTGGAGTTTCTTATATTCGAGTTTGGAGTGTACATGTAAGCTCCTCGAGCTCTTTGTATGCTCATGTGCGTGGTGGATTTTGGAATGACAAAGACTGCTTTCCCCGTCAATGCGGTGTAGCCAACGCAAAATCGAGTGTTGTCTACACGTATAACGACTATATACGATATACGGTATACGCGTTCATCGTAGACTGTTTGCTTTTAGTCAGATTCGGTACTCAGGTTTTAAGGTACACCTTTTGCCTATCCAGTCGTCTCAAATTAGAAAGTAGACTCAAGGATTTAAAGCAAGGCCAATAGATTTAACTTCGAATCCAACCAATCTAGAACAACAACAACACCAACAAACTATCGAAACAAAACTATCGAACAAAGATGGCGCTTTGCTTGCTTTTACCGCGGCTTTCAGGTGAAGGCGCCATGTCGGGCTTGGCGCATCCTTTCAAATGCCTTGGGGATGCCTGTTGATGTAGGGGAAAGTCGAGTGCAATGGTGTACGCAGTCAAACACGATGGACGACACAAGCACGACTTGTCGCTGGAGCACATCATGATACACCAGTAGACTCCGTCTATTCCAGTTGTGGTTTCGTTACGAGGGATTGTATCCTCACATTCCACGCAGAACTCAATGATTGCTGAGGTATGGTCAACAGACAATTGGAAACGCGCTACTTGGAATCATATACGAAAGAGGAAGGTATACGTTGTCGCAGGACCGCAATTTGGAGATCGAGAAGATGCGACCCTCATCATCAGCCGTCCCTATACTGACTCAAGTCTTCTGGATTACGATGCATCGAACAATTTGCAGATGTTCTTCGTTCGATGGGATTCTTTCCTTCAAATAGCCAAATCAGACATCTGGATGAGAGACAAAGGAGCTACTACGAATACATAGCTGTGTACGATAGACGACCTCCTTATTGTCGCAAAAGACGAATCCAAGATCATCGCGCATATGGAAGGGAGCACAGTTCAAACATAAAGAGAAACGGTACCATCAGCTTATCACCTAGGATGTGATTTCTTCCGTGATAGAACGAAGTACTGAGTTCCGCACCTACGCAAATAGTATTAGAAGGTAAGCCAGCAACTACCAACGATCTTCGGACACATGGCCAAACAAAGTCTCATCTCCACCCATCAAAGGAGACCACCCAGAGACTCAAACAACAGAGCTACTCGAAATGGAAACACACAAAGATATATCAGTCACTCAAGGTAGTCTACAATGGGCAAACCAATTGGAAGGTTAGATATCGCCCACGGCCACCATGACGATGTCCAGATTTCGGGCAGCACAAAGAATGGGTAACTTAGAGCGAGTAAAGGAATCTGCGGGTACTTTCCAAGATGCGACACGGCATCATACGTATCGAAAGAGGAACCGGATTACTCAGCGATTCGCAAGAAAGAGTACGAATGAGATACTCATGCTACCATGTGCCAAAGAGTCAGCGCACAACCACCGGTACCTCAGAGCAAACGGGTCATTCTCACACATATGTGGATGCGAACCTCTATCAGATCTCATCAGGCGGTCAGTTACCGGAATCCTACACCTAGCGAACAAGACCCATCGACTGGTTCAGCAAGCTACAGTAACAGTCGAGACCGCAACTTGATCTGTATGTTGCAGCCGTACGCCACTGAGCAGATCATCGACCTACGAGCACTTCAGGTACCTAGGAGTACTGGTGACACACGACCATGATGTTCGGAGACAACGGACGGTAGTCAACACCGCTCGATGCCACACTCAAAGTTCTCAAAAGACACAATGCGTTTCCTACCACCGTACTAGGAAGCGTTGCTGCAGTATCTTGAGATTTCATATATCCCTGGATCTACTAACCTGCAGATATCCTCAGCCAACACTGGGACTATACATCGTATGCCTATGCTGAATGCACTGGTGTTTTGGTCAGGAGATACCAAGGATTGCGGTAAGAAAAACTCAGAGTCGACAGTCGCCACTGAGGGGAGTGAAGCGTTACAGTTCCTCCACGACTCGAGTATCCGTGAGTAGATTGGGTATGTTTTATGAGTCAACACGATGGAACAGAGAACGCTGGCAAGCACAAGTTCTCAACGAAACAAAAGGACACGGTAAATTGGAGTTTTTGACAGGAGTAAAGCATTCTGCCAACGAACCGTTTTCGAATATCCACGTTGACTTCCGTATAACTACCACTGTATTGATCAACACGCTAACTAGCGTTTACTGATGCATCAATCAAAGCTCACACACACAGATTATGAATTACTAAGAAGCGAACTTGCATTTACCTTGCACCGTCTTGAATAGTTGCAGTTGATCTCGTTGGGTGGTTGCTACCTCTACAAGATCCCTCTATTCAAGTAGTATTTCCCCACGTTAGCAATTACAGTCTCCTTGAGGAGACGGGCTTCGTCCGCCATGCTTGAAAGCGGTGGAGAGGAGTAGATCAGGAAGGAAGGTCACACCATCAACAATCGACTTCAATTGACAGAATCGATTTGGGGCGTGCTGATTGTCGTGTTAGCTTGCAACTCTAG